TTTTGTAAGTGTCTAATTGTAAGCATACATTTGTAAGTGTATACTTGGCCGATCATGCGTTTGTAAGTGTGTACTTGCAAGGACGCATTTGTAAGTGTGTACTTAGAAGACAGTTAGGTTTGTAGTAAATGGAACTTTCACCACTTTTGGAACTTCGTTTTAATGTCACCATGTATATTTCTATTAACCAAAGAAAACAAATAAATGTCACCATTTTAATCCTTTTTTTTTCAAGGTCTTGACCAAAATGTACAGGCCAGAATCCCTTCAAGAAATTTGCCTCAAGAGACTCAAACCTGGTGATCAAAAAAAAGCATTATGCAAAGAAGCTGGAATGATACCGTACCATCAAGTGCTCAAGAAAACATACAAGCATCTCGGAATAACAATTTCACCTGACTGGACCACAGCAGAACTGGGAATAAAGTCCATCCCATCTTTTCTTCAATGGGAAACAACGGTGAGAAAAGTCTACCTCGAAGAATGGTGGTGGGAGCTTGAAACAGATGAAGACATGGTAAGAAATTTAATAGAAAAACTGTTATCCAAATTGCAGCCCACCATACTTGTATATAATGGTGACAATCTACCATTTGATTTTCAAAATTACCTTAAAATTCAAGTACTGTACCAAACTATAATGATTAAAATGTAAAAGTAATGTACAAGATATTTAAAAAGGTACCATACATTGATTATTTTTCGCTTCTCCAACAACGTAGGCTGAGCTGTTTTTTAATGTATTAATCTGTACTAATCTCCTGAGAAAGACAGCTCAGAATGAATTTCATGAAATGAATTGTAGGTCAACCATTTGAATTATTTTTATTAGATTTCAATGATGTATACTTATGTTTCTTTAATTTTAAAATTGTAGACCATGTACTAGATTTGTATTCTATGAAAGTCCTTTCTTAGTTAAAAGATGATGCATAAGATTCAGATATGGATCCTTTTATGTTAATTTGGCAGCAGTTAAACAAACTCAAGAAATTTTATACTGTACAAATTTATAGTCAAAACACTAGACCATATTGGAACTCAAGATGTTCAGAATTACTTGAGATGCATAATCAATTAGGTTCACCAACAGTCTTTCTTACATTGAGTAGTGCTGATTACTATTGGCCTGATTTCTTTCGTTTACTTGGTTATAACGTTTTACATTTAACTATGTCTGAAAGGAGGAAATTACTTTCTGAAAATCCTTTGTTGTTCGAGTCTTTTTTTGTAAAACGTTGTACATATTTCATGGAGGAATGTGTAAAGCACAAATTTAATGTAAAAGACTTTTGGTATCATTTTGAATATCAGCATACAGGTTCTATTCATCTTCATATCCTTCTGTGGCTATCGGATTCACCATCTATTGACAACGTTACAGTAGATAAGCAGAAAGAAGTGATTGATTACTTCAATAGTATTATTTCTTGTAACAACCCAAATGTGAATTTTGAAGTAATCTCAGGACATCCTTGTGAAAGGAGGGGGAAACGTCGGGACGTACCCCCGTCGGGACGTTCCCCCCTGTTTTATAGTAATTCTTACAATATATTTAATGAATAAATATATTGGGTGGATATTATTTTAATTCACTCTGGAATAAACAGAAATAATCGTCCGTCGTCCCAGAAATATTTAAGAATATTTTTTAGATAGTCAAAATATTTTCCCCTCTCTAATGAGCTACATGCAGAGTTTCTCGCAAGGTCTTTCACAAGTAGACGAAGAGCTGGCACAAGCAGTGTAAGATCTGTCACGAGTAGAGTAAGATTTGTCGCGACGTAAGATTTGTTGCGAGTAGCGTAAGATCTGTCGCAAGCCCGTTAGGTTTGGTTAAGACAGGTTGGACCCTTTAGTGTCAGAGTTTTAGGGAAGCCATCCGTCGGTCCGCATGCGCATCTACCCCGCACCACCATTAGATATTCCGCATCCAGCTCGAGGAGAGAAGAGAATATTTTGATTATTATAAACATATGTAAAAAAATATTCCTAGGACGACGGGTGATTATTTCTGTTAACTCGAAATGAATATAAAAAAAATATCCATCCAATATAAATATTCAATAAATATATTAAAAGAAATACTAATAAAACAGGGGGGAACGTCCCGACGGGGGTACGTCCAGGCCGTGCCCAAAGGAGGTTGTTGGAAGTAATTAATACAGATAATGACTAAATCAATCTTGTTAACACTGTGCAAAGGCATACACAATGTAAAAAAGGTTATTGTTTAAAACAAAAGAAAGGAACTCTAAAATGTAGATTTAACTTTCCTTTTGAAATGGAAGAATATACAAAATTAATTATGGATAGTAACCTTATAAAAGAAATTGTGTATGAAAGGAATGATCCTTATGTAAACCGTCACAATAGGTGGATCTTACAAACATGGAGGGCGAATATGGATATTTCTGCTATTGTAAATCATGATGCTGTCTATAGATATATTGCAAAATATGCATCTAAGTGTGAAATTAAGTCCTTGGAGTACAATGATCTAATCAAAAAAATTTCTACTACAAAAGAGAATGATAATGAGCCTTCCAAAAAAATATTTAGAAAGTTGTTGTTGTCTACTTGTAGTGAAAGGGATTACTGTGCTCAAGAAGTTATACATTTTCTAATGGGTTATAAATTTTTGTGAAGATTCAATGGTACATTCTTTGAAACTCCTTTCTTTGTTAAAAGATGATGCAAACGATTCAGATATAGATCCTTTTATGTTAATGTGCCACCAGTTAAACAAACTCAATAATTTTTATACTGTACAATTTTATAATCAAAACACAAAATTTATGTAAGATTCAAAGGTATCAATAAATAACTTTATACTGTTCAAATGATAACATACAAGACAGTTATTAAAGAATACTTCACATCTTTCCGAACACAATTGACAACCAACTTTTTTCAGTAACTGCAGTCAGCAATTTCTGATTTCTTTAACTTCCAAGTTATTTCGGCCTAAATATGCACCACCAAATAAGAACAAAATGGGCCCGAGAAACCAATCACCAAAATTATAACATGACTAAAAAGCAAGGAAAAATCTCGAGCAATTTCCTTGTAGCCACAAGTTTATAAGTAACGTGTAACTATCAACAAGTATATAAATTCAAAAACCACACTAAGGACAACTTCAAAAAGAACGACATTGTCGAAATGTCAGTAGAAATGATGAAAGTGATCCGTTTGAAATGATGTTTGTCAGCACATCTTCCAGAAAACTGAAGCAACATTTTCACTTAGGCAAAGGAGGGACGGGGTGGTGAACAGCAGACCGCATGAGTCGGGTCACGTCCGAAAGTGCCACCAATTTTCAAGCACCAGAGCGATACTTAGGAAAAGACGTTACTGGAAAATAATGTGCCTCGCCGAAAGCCCCGACTTCAAGCTTTCTGCCGATGGTTTTACCTGTGCCATCCTGTCAGGCGCATACAAGCCTCTGGGCAAGCAATTTGAGGGACACGTTCGCGATGCAGCCTTTGTTGTTGTTTTTGTCTGGCCGGTTTCCTCCGTTGCAAGTCAGTCTCGCTATTTTCCGATTGTCCTTTCTGTGAAAGTTACTTCAAAGGTTTGCATTACACCGCTTGATACTCTCTCCACCTGTGCATGCGCGTTGTGTCTCCTATGCACTACGTCAAGTTTCCTTTCCCTTTGATCGTCTTGATTATGTTTCGTACTTTGGTTACCTAACCTTGTTCTGATCACATTAGAAGCTTTTCTGTTTATGTCATCTTCGTGTTATTGCTCTTGCCTTAAGTAAAGCGCATTTTTTTTTTCTCCAGGTATTAGAAGAGGATTCTGTCACTGCTTAGGAAGATACTTTCAAGCCAAGCCATTCTGAGAACAAATATTTGTCTTTCAACAACTGGTTGATGTTGGGCGACAACAGCATGGAACAACGATGGAAGGTAAGAATTACAGTCTGATTATTATTGTTACCAAGTGTATGTCAGCTCTGTGTTCATGAACATTAGGAAGTGCATTTTGATATGTCTATCAATTTGATACTGTCACAAACCATGGAATCTGCTTCACAGACTTCAGAAACAATGTCAAACAGTCGACGTTATTATTAATTACTCAAAGAACTTAAATACCATTTGTACTTCCCCTTTGGGGCTTTTACTACAAACCTTTCTCTGTCCCAAACTTGTGTTGATAGTCTGTAAAATTTGATTTCCATTCCGACTTTGTAACAACAAGGCAGTAGCTTCGAACAAGACATGTCCATTTAATGGTAAATATTCTGGGGTGAATTCTTTTTGTAGGAACTTGTACTGTCCATTACAAAACGTTTCGATGTTACAGTCAAAATAGAATACAAATGATCTCTACAATTTTGAACATTAAATTCATTGTTACTTTAATAGTAAATGTTCTCTTACCCTCTAAAATTTCTTAAAAAGTATGTTTCTCCCAACCTAAGAACTATTTTATTGTAATTCACAAATAAATAAGTCTTCTTCAAAAATTACATACTTCTTAATTTGGATACAACTATTCCTAACATGTTTTAAAGGAAAAATATCTGCGATTGTCAGAAAAGGTAAAACACTTGTCTGTATGCATATAAGTTTTGTGATTTACTTTTTAATGTTAGGATTAGTTTTACTATATATTAACAAACCAAAATGCATGTTGCCTTCTGTTCTATTGCCTTCTTGGACTCCAAATCTTTATTGACTTTTTTGTAAGTTAGATGGACCCATTTGACAATTTTTTAATGTGTTTCTGTCCTTTGTTTCTAGGTGATCAAAATGGAACTAACTTGTCTACAGAAGACGCTGCTGAAAATAAAAAGGTATCAACTTTGGCTGAAACATAAGTGTATGAATGTGATTTCCAAAAACAAAGAACAAGTTGACAATTACCATTCATACTCCGAAGAACACATGTTACCACTGATCATCATGACAAAAGTTTCATTAGACAAATTTGTGTCAACAAACATCCAGCTAGTTTCCAGTTTTGTGGTAGCCAAATTCTGTACAAAGAGAAATACTTTCATTGACAGGTATCAGATTAAATCATGAAACAGACAAATTTTCAGATAACTTACCGCAGTAAAAAGGAAAAATCTATTGAAACAATCTACAGAGAAGAAATAGTATCTCCATCATACCAAAATATTGTTAATGTTTGTGTATCTCCAATATTGTGGTTTCTTTGCAAAAACAGATTGTTGTCATTTGCTCTATTTTTCAAAATTAAAAGTTCTTCTCGTGTTATATATCTGAAAGTTACTGGTAGGAACATGTTGTACCTTCTCATATCATGATTTGGATCCTCATAAGATATAAGAATTTGGCCTCCATCATAATTGCCCAGTCTACCAATTTGAATAATGCGATAATGTGTACCGCCAGTTAAATTCAATTGTGTGCGATAGGAGTTGTTGATCCATTGGTCTTCTTGTTGATTTTCTGTCTGTAAAGTAACACTTCTTACTTTTTTTAACATCATTTTCCTATTTAAATGTTAACTATTAACCTTGTCTCTAATAACATACCTGGTTATTTATGCGTTCTCTTATCAAAGGTGACCTTGAACGGTTCGAAATGGAGCTGCTTGAACTAGTTCCACTTACTGTATCACTTTCTGAACTTGTATCTGAACTAAAATGTCTGTTCAAGTGTCTGTTATTAGCCATTATAGTTTATTTAGGTTCTTTAAATGTTTTCTTCTGTATGGAATAAAATGCTTTGTTGCAAATTTGGGTAGTTTTAGAAAAGTTGTGCTACCATAGTTACGATTTAAGAATGTAACAATGACACAAATGTATTCAAGGAATAATAATAAAATTTAATTTTGTTACACCAAAATAAGTTAATTTACACAAATACAAAACAAAAAGTAAACATTTCTTATTTCACAAGGTAATAAAAATTAGAAAATTTTACTAACCAGTAAGATATGTAGAACTGCAAACAGAAATTTATACCCAACAGATACAATTTCTTTATCAAAGGACAATTTGATCAATTAGTACTTGACCTCCTTGACATACATGTATTTGTTTTACTACTTTCTGAAATACTATCTGATGCAACAAATAATAGTCTAATCACTTAATTTCCATTTTTGTACACTTCTAACTGTCATGTAAATTATCTTCATGTAATGAATTGATTTCTGATTAGGTTACCCATAAGTAGTATGTAAAGGGTAACAAGCAGTAAATTTCACGTACAGACAAACCATTTACAAACAAATACTAATGACCAATAGATTGAAATAAAAACGATAACCAGCCAAAATAACCAAAGAATAGAGGCACTCACAATGAGGCAACTTGGGGATCAAAATATCCACTTGTCATTCTGTAAAAAATAAAAAGGTAAATTTTAGTCTGTAAATTTATATTTAAAAAAAAGGACACCTACAAGATTTACTCACCAGAAGATAAACGAAGCTCACTCATTAAGTTTGAGATAACAGATTCAAATTTATGAATTGATGCCGCCAAACGCATAGTCTTCTTTTGTAGAGTTTCAATATCAAAATCTTTCCGTTGGTCACAACTACAGTAATGCTCAATAAATATGTACCATGAGCACGCTTGAGAGGTGAAGCGAAATGGACAAAGGAACCCATTCTGCCAAAGAAATTGAGGTCCAACTTCACGTCCAAAAATATCTGCTGCCACTTCACTAGGCTCATGAAAGAAAATAACTTCTTTAATTTCAAATGGTACATCTTGATTTACTGACGTCGAAACAAAATAATTGGCACAAAATGTACAAGCCTGGAACATACAGGAAATTTTAAATTAATATGTGCTGAAGAAAATGACAAATCAAAAGTGGTACTTACAATTTTATAAGCATTTGATGAGACTGGACCGAACTTTGCATAAACACCAGTTCGACAGGTTGACAAATTAGAACTTTGCAATAGGACTGCATTTAAATTAGATTCCATTTTCAAAACAGTAGTAAGAAGAAAAGAAAAAACAGTATAAGGCAACTATATAAATAGAATTAACAACAAATGAATCGTCTAGGCAACATTAAGTCTATAAGGAATTTAGTACCAACATCATACTTTATATTATAAAAAAGAAAGACAGACAATTAATCATTTAACATTGTTTATATAAATTTACAAATATACAAAAGAAATTATTGAATAAACACGAACAAAACTTAAGTACAGCTATTCAAATTTATTATCTCCTGATACAAAGATGTTACTTACAAATATTGTGAGTTCCACCAACCTTACTAATGAATCATGACATTCAGTCTGCACATAAATGTACAGTACTACACCTTTTTCATGGACATTTGTAGAAAGTTATGAACCATTTGTCATATATTTAACAATCATAAACACTAATGAAAGATACATAATAAACACTAAATTAAATACGAACACTACGAAACTTGGAAAAATGAAAGATTCGTATATTTCCTGGTAAACAGAACAGCCCAAAGATGCAAATGTATATTGTTCCTTTTTCTGTTGTTAAAGGATTGTATTATGTCTCAGGATGCAAAATTCAATAACGAAGCACCTCCAAAAACCTTGAACAAAGAAAACTTCATCTGGTGTCAATCAAAGAACCTTTTGTGAATAGAAAATAAGAATGTAAGAAACTAAAATAAAACTGTTACAAACAGTTAATAACAAGACACAAAATTCGAAAAATGGTTATACAGAACATGTCAAATGGTTCATTAGACATATTTTAAAAAAACACTAAACTCCTACAGAGCACATAACCTAGTCAAAACAAATAACCAAAGAATGAAAAGCGTTGCCTTGTCACAAACTTAGTATCCGATACTTGATGTTGGTAGAAATTACAAAATACAAGGAAATAGAAATGAAACGAGAAGTTACAAAAAATTTAATTGTGTTATTGAAAAGGAATAAGAAAACTTTATGACACAAGTAAAACATCCAAAAAGAAAAAACTAGCATACAAAAATACTGAACACAGTAGACTTCAATAACTGAATATAATAACGTAAGACAAACTTTCTCATACAAGTAGTATACATAAAATGAAAGCGAAAGTATCAAACATTGTCTGCTATTGAAAGGTAGTATTGCATTCATCTTCTAGACAGATTTCATACTAAAACAACGAAGAAATTTACTAATATAGTATCATAAAATAAGATAAAACAAATTGATTGTACGTACATTAAAAGTAGTTATATATAGTGCTTAAAAGATCATACACAAAAGCAGATATTAGTTTGTATTGTACTCTAACCTATTTTAGCCAATAAGCAGAAGGTGTAATGCTTTTGCCTAAGATCTTTGTATCCTAGAATAATCCAGTCAACACAAAGATAACACATGAAAATAATAATAATGTTACATCAATAATAAGGTACAAAAGTAAATAATGAATATGTCAGTTTTGTATTTTGATAGTTTTATTTCAAATGAAAGTTACACAAATCAAGAAAATTTGTAGGCATGTCAACGCGCATAGGCTGAACCTGAATTAAATAATGTACATTATTACATTATAGAAGACATATATACCTTAAAATAATACAACATATCATAAATTACATACCACCGTAAATTGAAAACTCGTAGTCAGCGATAAGCTTCAATCAGATCATTCCTAATAAAGAAAGTTGTTTAGTTACAAAAAATGATACTTAACAAACTGAGCTCTGGACCATAGAACCTTACCTCAAACGACATGACTCACAAGAAACTCATAAAAATCTTTCAAAATTCTATTAGACAAAAGGACATTGGTATTCAACCACCGATCATAATGAAATTTACATGTGCATTTGCACTTCTGAAAGGACATAAACTTGTCACAAGTTTCAGGACTTCTGAACTGTAAGACTTTAAGACTAATAATGTCCTGTTGGTGGTCATCAGCACTAAAAAATTGGTTTACTAATGTAGTCATGACATTATGTCCAACATCATACAAAATGCTTGACCACATTTCTTCGAGGGTTATGTCATTGTAGTTGCTTACTGTAGTTCCAGCAGAAATATTTATTAAAAACTGAAGTTGTGAAGGCAAATTGGTTAAAGGATAGTACTTATCCCAGTTTATATTAGGCATATTCGTGGATGTATTGAAAAAAAAATTGGAATGACAATCTGTTACCAAGGTTTCAATTCTCGTTAAGATCATTGTTAAACTATAATAAAAGAAACAAAGACACTTGTTGACTTCTATATTTTCAAAAATTTATACAAATGAAATTTTCAAATCAAAACTATTATTTGTATATAAATGTTTTTCTTACAAAGTTTCAATCCACTGCAGAAACTTTAGCCTTTGTGCAAAATATTTGAGTGCTTAGCACAATTTAAACGATCTAAAGTTAGAAATTTCAACAAAAGAAGTTTAGTAAAATCACTAACTCTAGATATAGCTACATATAGAATTCCACTTGAAAATTCTGTCTTACAAATATCTAAGTTAACAAAAGGCAATGTTAAGCTTTGACATTTGTGGATAGTACAAGACCAAGATAATATAAGAGGAAATTGGAGTCTTGAACACCTGACATTATTCTTCATCCAAGTAGCCAAAACAGGTTTTAATGGTACAGAAACATTTGCATCATCCCCGTTAACAGTAAAATCAAATTCTACAACTATAAAAGCTGGTAGCTTTGGCGGCTTTTCATCATCACGATAAATTATTCTTAGAATATTTCCAATAGATCCATTAGACAAACCAAAATCAACATTCATGTTTCTGCGCAACATAACTTTGGAACCTACTGACAAATACAGTAAATTAGGTAGGCCATCAGCATCATCATCAGATGACTTAAAAGCTGTGTAACAATTGTTTTCCGCCTTGACAATAGCAACTGGAACCTGTAAGTCTTGTAACTTATCATTATTGCATTCTGTAACATCAGAGTTGTAACCAAACAAAGTCAAAGCTTTAGAAAATTTTTTCAACTCTTGATTAGGTAACAAATTTATACAACGTGCATTCAACTTTTCTAAATCTTTCTTAGTACATTCACCAATGGTCATTCTGTTAAGCATTGATACAAAATGTCTGTTGTCAGATCTATGGCTGTCTTTTAAAACAAAACCTTCAGA